TTTTTTTACCTTGTTTTTGCAACTTGATGGTATTGTCAGGGAGACCTGAAAGAACGAACTTTGGAGCCCACAGTCGGTGCGTAGGCTTGGTACATTCCCAGGCATTTCGCCTGCATCGTCAGTGGGCTCTGCTTTTCTTAGCACCACAAATGGTCTTCTACACAACGAAAGTAGACCAAGGTCATACTAAAGACCACACCATCTAGCTCTTCATGCCTCCAATTAAATATACGAATATTTTAGAACTTTTAAGGATATTTCTTTGGGCTCATTTGTCTATATCCTAGCTTGACAAACCTCTATACATGCATGGCTTTTATGTGAATCCACTAAACAGCCGTCAAGTCTTTGAAAAGACTCCACAAATGCTACTTTGTGAAATGCAAGATTCCTTAAATTCTGTTCATCTGTCCGGCTGTATCATTAAACATTTGGCCTGCCCAGGCACTTAAATTAGCTCGAACAGTACTGGGAACTTTAAGATCATTTGAAACCCGCTAATGAATATTTATTGTTGCGCCTTGCCATTTCCTCCTTTCTTTCGTGTGAATTTATGTGAGCCCCAGACATTAATTATATGCTGGCCTTTGCCGTAAAAATTTCACGCAAGCTAGCCATGAGAAAACTGGGCTTTTTATCGCATAAACTTGGACTTATATTTGACTTTAGATTATTATAGTTTCTGACGGCTTATCCCATTCGGCCAGACTGCTGAATTATTCATCTTAGCTCCTTAGACATCTTGTGAAAAGATTGTAAAGGACATGAACCTGTTTTTTCAAGGGGGTAGTGGCTAGAATAAATGTTTCTTATCTTTGCGACTCTATTTGGCTTCATATTGTTGACCAGCAAGCTGCTTCCACCTCGCCTGAAAGAGTCGTCGAATCGCCTAGTCTTTCCGCTAATCTGACCGCATATTCACCAGTTTCTGATCCATGCAAACAACCAGTAGGAACAAAGGTCCATATGCTTTAATGCCTATGCCAGATCTTTTTTGGAAGATTTGCTTTTTGTCGACATTCCGGCACTATCTCCACCAAATGGAATTAGGTCTGTGTATTTGTTCTCTCCTCTAGACTGAGGATGCTGAGGCACGATGGCTTGACCCTTCCAAATAGCCGGCGTTTAGGGCTCTGTTTTGGAATCACCCATCTTTAACCCATCTTCCCTGACCTCTGCTGAGGACCAAATTCTCCTAGAGACTTTGGTTCACTCGAGGTCTACAGAATGGCTTATCATCTATTAACTTTGGCAGAAGAAACTATGAATTAGTGCAATGCTGACGGCCAACTCTGAACTCAGCAGCAACTGATGATGGTGGTGGAAGTTACCTTACCAACACTTCTCTACGTGTACAGCATATTTGCAATAATTTGAACCTTTTTCGCAACGTTTTTAAGTCTCCAGAAATTCATTTAAACGTTTTATTCTTAAAATCGAATGAAGAAATCGCTCAAGCTTGCCTAATTCCTATTATAGAATACTATTCTTTATGGGGTATACAATTTACGGTGGTCTCGATCCGATATTTGTCTTTTTCTGCAGAATAGAATAATTTGATCTTGCCTGTGTCTTTTCGAGTGATATATTCCCATCAGATTGCTATAGGCTCCGTTTTAAAGCTCATACTCCCATAGCGACAATCATTACCTTTAGCCTATCTACATAATAGTTGTTGCCAGTACGCTAAGAATGTATCAGTAATTCTTGAATAAAAGTTCTAAGGTGATTTAGGGACTGATCGAGGAGTTCTCCAATAATGACATGAGTAGGCCTCGGAATACCCTTAAATTTCACTTAACTTTGCCTCGCGAAAGGTTTTTTTCATTCAGACTGGACCGGACCGCAGTTTCGGCCTCGCCTCATCATCTCACTAGCACCCCAGACGGGATTCGAGGCCAGATCTTGAACTTTGTGCTGACACGTTGCCATTTTGCCGGACTGCTTCACTTACGGCAAGCCGGGCATCTCCAAAATCAAATTAAGAGCCTTATGCATGGAACAAACATGCATTCACCTTTACACTCGACTGCGCCGCTTGTGTTTCGTTTCAATATGACTCGATACTATCTGTACTTTCTGAATCATAATTTAGTCAGGCTGGGTTGTTTAGGGACTTATAATGAAGTGTTTCCATACTCATTTTATTGTGGGAAAAGCGTTTATTACTCCTTCAATCAGCCTAACCGGCCTAGGCTGACTAAGTTATTTTGCTTATTTATCTGCCAATTCGTGCCGTAACGCAAACGTCAATTTTGATCCACTTCTTTGCATTCAGTCCCCCTTCGAATCCCGAGAATTCCCCACTGACTCCGGAAGCCTTTTCTGGTCAACTGGTCTCGTCTTCCTCCGTTTCGCTGCCCACTCCTCGATCGACTGCCCTTTCCGCTTCTCTCGCCCAACCCACGACCAGTTTCCCTGTCACCCGTTCGACTAGTCAACCGAAAATTGAGCCAGACTACCAGAAGACTCTGCCGCAACAGCGCTCGCGACACATTCCTTGGCTACGGCTTTTCGCGTCCACTCCTTTCTGGTCGATCCTCATCTGTCATGTCTCCTTCAACTGGACCTGGTATACTCTAGTCACCTGTCTCCCTTTGTACTTGGCCCAAGTGCTCGGCTTCAGTACCAGCGAGGTCAGTTTGGCCGCCTCGCCTGCATTCTCTATTTTTCCGCCACAGTCTATTTGTCTGATCAACTGCCAGTCCTTCATCAATTTAGCGAAATATGCTGAATACATTTTATCGTCGTTATGACCACCACAATGGCCTGGCCTCCGTTTGGGTCGCAGCCCCCTTTAGCCGCGTAGAATTGGTGCGACCTCATCTTGACAACTTGGCTTGCGCCTGCCATTGTTTGCATGTCTTCCTCCGCCGCTCAGTCCCAATTCGTCAAGGAGCCAAACAAGTACTCACTTTGACGACTTTCTGCTCAATGTTTATGGTATCTCTTAGCCTCCTGTCGCGGTGGATTTAAATACTCCATAGTGCTACTACTTTGTGAAGTTGTCAAGGAGTTAGTCTGAAGCAGATCAGACTAGACAAGGTGGGCGTTGTGTGAGAGAATGCGTGAGCTAAAAGCACATGGGATATGTGAATCCAACAGGAGAGGAGAAGAGAGGCCACAATCAGTGAGTTTTTGTCTTTTTAAGTGTCTCTTTGTCGAGTCGCAACTCCATGCTAAAGCCGAAAAAGTGTGATGACGATGCAGACAAAACATCTGTAGAGGCAAGATGTATTCAGTCAATTTCGTTTAAGGTGATGAAGGACTGGTAGAAGTAGAATTTTCCCACAAATAATATGAGTAGTGCTGACGTTTCCATTGCATTTCACACAGCCTCGCTGTCCCAAAAGTTGTTCTCATCCAGGCACCAGTGAACTGCATTTTCGACCTCTCATTGGTCTTATCAACACCCTCAGCGGGACTCGAACCACGATAGTGCATGT